GGAGTATATACTTTCTCTCGAACTGTATATTTGTTATCTAAAAATGACCCAATCTGAGCTCCTCGACGCCCCCGCCCTTTTTCACCCAGAGGCTGAAAAAGATAAAAATGCTAAAATAATTCATTATTCCGATGAGAATTACTTGATGGGTATCCCATCTCATGATGAATTGGCTATGAAAAATGATGAGGGTTCAACTTCAATTCTCAAAGATAAGATAGCGAATCATCGAGATATTCCATTCATGCTGGTCGATATAGAAGAAGCTAAAGAATATATTAATAAAATTCCCCATTATATTCTTCGCCTTTATGGACACCTCGTTAATGGTCAAAAAGCGGTTGTAACTATTACCGGTATCAAGGTATTTTTCGATATTCGTGTTCCTAACAATGCGAGCATTCCCAAATTCTGGTCCAAAATAAAGGGTATTCTTACTACTGGGAAAGATGGTAGTGGGAACACTGTGAACATGAATCTAATCCGAATGGAATGTATAAAGGCATATCCTATCCGTGGTTATCATGCGGAAAGAAAGCCATATCTTCGTATTATTACACCCAATAAAGATCTAAGATTTACTGCTCTCGATATCATCTCAAGCTACAATTCAAAGGTTGATCCCGAATGTAAAATAGAGACAGCTTCAGACGATACAGGCACATATTATCGTAAAGTTGCAAGAGAGTATCGGATATCACTTTCCGGGTGGGGACTAATAAGGGACTACAAATATAATTTGAGAGCACCATATTATGCTCGCTCCCATCTTTGTCCACATGCATTTTATGTTCACATCGGTAATTTTCAACCCGTGGTTGATTTTGAACCACTTTATAAAATTTATCCATCTTCTCTCTTTTCTCATGACCGAGCATTAGTTCTAACGTGGGATATAGAAACATACGATTCGCGTGGATTAGGTCATTTTCCACAAGCAGAAAATGATACAGCTCAAGTTTTTATGATTTGTATGTCTATCCATTGGAAAGATGACCCAAAACCACTAGAACAGATATGCCTTGTTGATGTTGAAATAACACCAGATCCACGCTGGATAACAATTATATGCGGGAATCAAGTCAATTTATTAAAAGCTTTCGCTCTATGTTGGAAATCTTTTGCTCCGGATATCCAGCTTGGTTTTAACGACTCTGGCTATGATTGGCCCTTTATTGTAGAAAAGGCCACCAAATTAAATGTTTTCGAGTGGATGGTCCAGCAAATGTCAGCAAATCCGCATAAGAAAGCTAATGCTGAATCTATCCTCACTTGGAATTATTTTGGTGGAACTGGGAAGCCATTAAGTAGTGGTTTCTTCCATAGGAAACAATGGGTAAAGAAAACGGATAGAAACTTCAGAAGAACAGAAGGTCGTGAATCTATTAATATCAAATTTGGTTCCAATAATTTGGGCTTTGAATCATCCTTTCTTAAGCTTCCCGGATGTGTACCAATTGATGTTTGTGCATGTTTGTTACAACTTTTTCCCCGTTCAGAGAAAAGATCACTCAAATACTTCTTAGAAGAATGTGGTCTCGACAGCAAAGCCGATTTGCCCATGAGCAAATT